GACTGGAATACAACCCTCGTCCTCGGGGTGGATTCCATGCGGCCGGGACCGGCCGGAAATGATGTTGCTCGGCTGACCAACTTCATCTACTCCAACGGATTCACTGACCTATTTCGAGTCTTGCACCCGTTTGAACAAGCCTTTACCTTTTTTTCGGCGGGAGCCCCGCAACAACAATACCTACCTAGAAGTCGTATAAACTTGTTTTTTGCGTCAGACACCTTGATGTCAAGACTTTCGAGATGTTTCGTTGTACCATATGTAGGATCAAATCACTTACCTTTATTTTTAGAATTCTTTCTTCACATCACTGTCAGGGTGGGAAGGGACAGGATCATGTTGCCGGAATGGGTAGTGCAGACACAAACCTTTTCCCAATTTATTTATGAGTTTTGGCCTAAGTGGAAGACTGCCAAAGCTTTGTTCCCCTCATTGGCAGAATGGTTTCAGGGAGGACAGCGAATAGTGTTATAGAGAAACCTGCTAATCAAGAAATTTATCCTTCTTGCTAATCGGACAGAGTTACAGAAAATAAACGAAGAATTGGCAGGAGTTATGCGTCAAGCCTCGGCGGTGACCCGGCCACAAGAGGAACACGCCTTGATGACTCGGATGGAGGATCTCAAACAACGATGGACAATGCAGGCTCAGCCAGCAATGAGGAATGTAATCCACAACAAGAGGATAGGCTGGCTGGTGAAAGGTGATCGAATGACTTCCTCCTTTTTCGCAGCTCACCGCCCGCCCATACAAAAGCAGATGATATCAGCTATTAAGCATCCGTTTGACGATTCGGCACCGACGACAGTAGAAACAAGAACAATTGTCATTAACGTCTCATTATTCTATGAAAACCTGCTGACTTCGCAAGCGCAATGTACGGAGCAACAGTTACTCCAGCAGTATCATGAACAGGTCTGGACTAAAGTGAATAAGAAATTGTCTAACTACCAACGTCAACGGCTGGAGGCTGATATAGACATGCAAGGAGTGGTAGATGCAATCTCATCCTTGTCATAGCATAAAGCACCGGGGTTGGATGGCCTACCGGCCCGTTTTTTTAAAGGTCTCTCGTTGCACTTGCTACCAAAGTTGTTGCCAATCTTTCAGGCAGTCTGGAACGAAGTATCATTGTCGGCTTCGACATTGCAAGGAATTATTACTTTTGCTTACAAGAAAGGTGATCGATCTGACATAGCAAATTATAGACCGATAACGCTAATGCCGGTGATTTACAAAATTCTGTCCAAAATAATGGCAGCCAGACTACAGAGAGTCCTTCCTTCTCTGATTCACCACACTCAGACAGGCTTTCTTGTAGGAAGACAGATTCTCCACAATGTGATGATTGTAGAACAGTTAGCTGAACTGGTAGCTGGAGGTGAGGACAGTCTTGCCATTGTGTTGTTGGACTTGGCAAAGGCATACGACAGAGTCGGTTGGGAATTCCTGCAGGCAACACTTACCGCATTTGGATTTCGACCAAAGTATAAGCACGCAGTGGAAAGCCGTTTGCACGACGCCACTTCCACAGTCTGCGTTAACGGGATTTTATCACAGCCAATTCGACTAAGCAGGTCGGTTAGACAGGGTTGTCCAGTGACACCGTATTTGTATTTGCTGTATGTAGAAATAATGCATATTCTAATCAGATCTAACCCGTAAATTCCGGGATTCTTACTGCCCTCAGGAGAAAGACTGAAGACGGAAGCTTTCGCTGATCACTCGGTAGCCTTTACTCCTGTCGACGACCAAGCCTTCTTCGCACTCAGAGAAACCGTAGATCTGTTTTGTCAACTATCACAAGCAAAGGTCAACTGGTCTAAATCCTTAGTTCTGATACCTCCGGGCGAACAACCTCCGCTCAACTGGGGACTCAGGATAGTGGTCCCGGGGGGACAGGAAAGGCTGCTGGGACACCAAATCTCCTTTGACACATTGTTGATATAAGATTCCTTCACATCAACAGCAGGTCTGCATTTGGCACTGCAGCCGTGGGTCAAGTATAAAGGCGTCAGCTTGTTTGGTCGAGCAGCGATAATCAACAATGCAGTGCTGTCCACCTTGTGGTACCGTCAGGCCATTCATCAATTGGATAGAGCGTCGTTGCAGATGATACGCCACATGCTAACCCATTATTTGTGGAAAGAAGAGATTGATGATGATAACTTTTTGCCTAAAGTGGCATGGGAAACAGTAACTCAACCGAAACGGAATGGAGGATTAGCAATACTTGACCCGGAACGACAGATGGATGCACTCCTAGCAAGATGGGTCCCATGGGCAATCCTGCAAAGCCCGTGCATGCCGTGGAGGCAATTGGCAGAGTTTTACATTTGTTCTTGGTTGGAATGGACCGACATCCGCTGTATTTGGCTGGCTGTACTCAATCCGGAGTATCAGCGGAAGAGATTGCCACCTGGAGTATGGGCAGGAATATTGAAAGCTTGGAGGGGTGTTTGCCCGGAATTGCAAACCCCCCCGCTAGTTTTTGAAAGATTAATGACCCAACCGTTGTTCAACAACCCCTGTCTACTCAATCTGGAAGGCCGTCCGTTTCGATGTTTTGGGCCGCGAGAGTTTGGCAACGCATGGATGTCAAGAGGAGTTGGAACAGTGGCTGACATCTGGGATGTCACACAGTCTGACTGGAAAACGATTGGCAACCTGGCCCCAAGGCTACAAGGACTGTGGCGCAAGGAAGAACACATGCAACAACTGAGGAATGCTGTTCCGCAACAATGGGTGGACATTTTGAGAATGGGACCGCAATTGGTGAAAGGGATGTGGTATAAGGATTCACAGCAAGAGACACCGGACTGCATCTGAAAGATTGAAGATTATTCAGAGGCGGTGGAGATTCCAACAACTTGCTGGAGGGTGCGGGGAGGCGTTGACTTGTTAGGAGAGCCTCTGCAGCTCTCTGAAGAGCAGCTCCCCCTCCCTCCGCTTGACCAACTCCTGCCGGTCTGCGTACTGAAGAACAAACAAAGCTACAGACCTTATCGGTTGAAAGAGCCACTTTACAGACTGACAGTAGATCCCAGAGATTGGGCATGGGAACACCCGCTACATAATGCAGAATAGGTGGAGATAGCAGATTATACAACGAAGTTGGGATACTTGATAATGACACCACGTATGGACATTAACTGGTCGGTGGCTAGAAGATGGATGGCAACAGGATGGGTAAGGGACATGTTAACCCGATTGGTGGCTTCCCTCCCGATGTTCTGGAAGCAACTAATGGAGTTGGTTGTAAGTAAGCACGCCAGCTTGCTTCGGCTGCTGATGCACATGGCACTACCGATTAACGCTTGGTGTGCCCGTAGAACAACAAAGGCTCTACCGGAATGCGGTTTATGTCCGGGGACCCGAATTGAGGACATCCACCATTTTGTTCTGCAGTGTGAACTTTCAAGACCCTTTTGGGAATGGTGGAGACAATCAGGAGTTCCGATCCTAGGTGCGGACTCCCGGTGGGATGATGAGTTCATCCTCCTAGGAACAGTTGCAAGGAGAGTAAAGACACAAACTCGATTTACTCAGGCGGAGGAAACCATTAGAGGAGCCATACAGTGGACCCTCTGGAACCTTCGAAATGCCAGACTGAGAAAGAATGAGCAGCTGACACCACCGATGGTCAGAGTTGAAATCAAATATGCAATTAAGCAAGCCATATCGGCAGATTGGGAATACCGCGTCCAAAAAAAAGGCTTTTCGTCTGAGGCTGTTAAGTGGTTTGGAAGCAGATGGGGAAATTTTCCGGGATTGGTTTCAGCGGATGTAGCTCAGGAAGGTTAATTTCTACTGCAATTTTCCAATTTTTTTGTTTAGTCTTTTTTGGCATGGTTCAACTTTTGGTTTAAGGGCGTCGTTAGACACTCCTCGAGGACGCGATTCCAAGGATTCCGTCATCGTTCCACCTGTCCTCGGAGATGAAATCGGAAATGAAAATGTGAAAACACTCCGAGGACAGATCCTCGGGCTCCAAGGATTTCACAGCCAAATCGTCCTCGAACTCGAAGGACCTCGCGAGGTCCTTCGGAGCCCGAGGATCCGAAGGTGGTCCAGTGGTGGTCCAGCGGCCAAAAGACGGACATCCCCGACCGTCGTAGTCGAAAACCTCTAGCAACGGCCTCCTCGTTTTACCGTTGGCGCTAAATCGCGGGACGGCCCTGTAGGTCCTTCAGGCGGCCCCACGGAGGGGCCATGGCGATCGTCGGACGTCTTCGGCCGGCGCCCGGAGGCTTTGTGGCGTTCCCGCGGGCTTCCCAACGGTCGGAATTACAGATTTTGTAAGCGTCCTCCCCCTGTTGCTGCTTGCATGAATTTCGTTCGTTGGCGTCTTCCCTTGCGACAACGGTTCTGTGTCGGCTGACCTGACGTTGATTGTAGACCTGTACCGCAGGCTGCCTTTGCTGCTGCTCGTCGCTCTGCTGCTGCTCATCGTTGTCGTCTTCCACATTTGTTTCCTCGGCCGCGTTCCTGGAAGGAAACAGACGCGTCGAATGGCGAAGAGGGCGACGAAGATGGATAAGCTTCAGACGAAGATGACGTTGTCGGTGGGAGGCGGGGGGTCCTCGCGTCAGCGTTGCAACAGTGCGGAAGGCGGTAGGCAGCCGTATGACCCGACGCTGTACAGCCACCTGCCGTTCCACGAGATTCCATTGCCTCCGAGTGACGACGATGTCGGCGACCCCAGATCCTCAACGGTTCCTCTGGGCAGCGGCTCGACGCAGGATTGGATGGGGAGCCAGGTGTACAGACACGCATCGACGCCAACGTACACTGATTTGCTGGAGGGCCGGACCCCCGCTGGTTACGACGCTGGACTCGTCGATCTGAGCTTCGGTCTGAGGTCTGGGAGTGGCGAGGGCCTGACGCACACTGTTCTCGTTAACCCGGCTTCTGCCTCGAAACACACATCGCCTTCCGTGAGGGCGGCTGGCCCTGCGGATAGCCGTGGATTCGTTTCGCCGAGGCGGGTGGCTTTGAGAACAGCAAGTGTGGCAGCGTCAAAGACGAAGACAGTCGGATTGGCAGGCTGCTGAACGACGATGCCAGGCGGTGCAATCGACGGAGAAGGGGACGACGACGAGCGCGACGCCACGGAGGTCGTCGGTCGTCAGTTTTGGGATGATGAACGACAACGATTGCGTTCCACGAACACGGCCAGCATAACGAGAGGGGTGGCGAGAATCAGTGTGGGGGCCGAAGAAGAATTTCAGGACTGCGCTGGTGGAGGGGGTGAGGAGATCGCTGCAGACGACGGCGGTGATGACAACGACGAAGACGACGATGGCGAGATGGAGATTCGTCCAGTAGGGAGGAAGCGCGGAGGGTCTACGGCGAGAACCAAGGTTAGAGAATCGCACACGGGGCGGAAAGGCAAGAAGTGCGGTGAAGAATCGTCGGCAGGCGACGAAACAAAAAGCAGGGATTTTTGGACAGTGGAGCATATGATCGCTCTTATCAGAGCCAAAAGAGACCAAGATTCGCATCTGGCCGGCCTGGGGCACAACTATGGACGGATGAAGACAAAGACATGGAAGTGGGAGGACGTGGAGAAGAGGCTGGTGCAGATGGGGGTGACGAGTAGGAAGGCCGTCGACTGCAGAAAGAAATGGGACAACCTGTACCAGCAGTTCAAATCCGTGCACAAGTTCATGGGAGAGTCTGGCAAGCCTAACTTCTTCACACTAACGCCGGGGGAGAGGAGGGAGCGGGGGTTCAACTTTAGGATGGATGAGCGCGCGTATTCGGAGATGAAGGCGATGTCCGGGGGCGATCACACTATACACCCCACGAATCTCGCGGACACGGGTGCTCCGGGAGGTGTTCAATTGCCTGGCACGGTTGGTGGGCGAAACGATTCCAGCGGTAGTGACGTAGGGGGGGGCGGTCAAGACGACAATCGCGGATCGACGAGGGATTCGTCGTTCTCCGGCGGTGGCGGTGGCGGGGCTGGCAAACGAAAGAATGTCAGACAGCAGACCTTCGAGGCGATGGCGGACGTCATGAAGGAGCACGGGGCGCTGATGTCCACGACGGTGGACAGCGTGAGCAAGAGGCAGTGCTCGATTCTGACGAGGCAATGCGACATTCTGGAGAGAGAGATACAAGTGCAGAAGGATCACTACGAGAAGGTTGACGAGGCGAACTTCTTGATGTGCAACGCCCTCATGGAGATTGCTAAAGCGATCCGCGAACGAGCTCGACGTGGGCTGACCAGGCATGTAGAACGTCCGGAGGCATGGCCCGTATGCGCTTCCAGCACGTCGCCTTTTTCGTCGTCCTTCGTGATGCAGCACGGTGATGCGTAGGTTGTGTAAAGTCGATGAGTCGTCGTTGCTCACGCGTAGTAATAATCGCGGGTTTTAAAATTGACTGTGAAGGGCGTTGTTTGCTTTCATGCCCCACACCGCGTCCTGAGGTTGTACAGCAGGTCCTCCTTTTTTTTAGATAGTGTTTAAAGAACGCTGTTGTGAGTTGTTGTCCGCAGGCATGGATGGCGATCTTCCAGGGTCTTCTTTGGGAGTGTCCGCGTATGTGTAGGCGGCAGGGTTGGTTTTTTGGGACGCGAGGGAAAAATGGCGGATTGGAGTGCCTAGCCTTTTTGGGGGCGGGAGAGGACGGATGGGGGGGGGGGGGGGGGAATGGCGGGGTCTTTGTACCTCCTGCGGGAGACGACCTCCACGTCGCGAGAAAATTCGTCCGTTGTGAATCGACGAAGGGGCGGGCTGAAGTGGACGGCCTGGCCTGTCCATGGTGTGCTGCGAGACCGCGCACCGTACAAAAGGGCATTCCGGGAGGCATTCCGTACCGCTGGCATTCTATCGCGACGGCTACAAAGGCATCGTCTGTGCATGGTATCATCGTCGCAGGCGTAGTCATCCGTTTGTCACGCTACGATCGCCGGGTTTGGGCTCCGCGGGCATCCACGTCCTCCTGCATCCACGTCAGCTAAGCGGCGTGCCATCGGACTGGTCCTTCTTCCACAGCAGCCAAGCGCCGCATCGTCAACGTCGTCCGACGGCAAGGTGCCCGTCATCAACCTCCCGCCGCTCCTTCATCGTCGTCGTCCACGTGGTCCGTCGTCCACGTCAGCCAAGCGCCGCAGCTTTCTGCATTCGGCACGCACTTCTTTGTGGACGACATGGCACCGCGCGACGCTTCAGGGAAGGCGAAAAGAAACAGCGGATCGGGCGACGGTGGGGAGACCCAAAAAGGCAGAGGGCACATACCGAAGTCGAAAAGGCCGCGCTTCGATGACGACAGCTCCGAACATAGTGGGGATTTGCACGGCGAGGAAGAGTCGATGGTGAATGCACAAGGGCTGGACGTCGTGAAGCGATTGGGGTTTGGGCGGGATGGGGTGTCGAGGGAGCAGCTGGCCGCTGTGAAGCAAGGCTTGCTCGGTGGTGTCGCCGTCTCGTTGGCACGAACCCCGAGGTCGGCAGGGATTGTCATGACGGACGCGCGCGCGGCGAGACAAGTTTCGCCAAAGGTCGTGCACGTGGCGCCACGTCTGCCAATCCCAGCGCAACAGGCGGGGACTTCAGGGGTGGAAAAAACACCGTCCGCGCAAAAGGTCGACACGATGACGGGCGGTGGTCGGACGGCGGCGGCGGAAAACACCACTGCGAGCGGAGTCGCGGAGGGTGCGGGAGAATGACGTCCGCCGCGATGATGGGAGGAAGGATGCCAGGAGGGGGGGCGATGATGATGACGACCGTCCGGTTTCGGCGATGGTGAAGAAAGGGGTTAAAGAGGATGATCTCGAAGAGAGGTCGAAGTTGTGGATCGACTGCGACGCATTCTGGGGTCAGGGACCGGGGAAGCCATTGAGGGAGGCGGTAGGCGATTGCACGGACTACTTCGTCGCCATCGCCAACGGGGATGCAGGAGCGGAACCGCCTTCAATGCTGGTAATGCCTCCGAATGATGTGCCGCGCTTCAAGATCGACGACCCTGCGCAGCGTGATCCGGCTCTGCGCAGAGCGCACAACGTGGAGAAAGTGGTGCTGCGTGCCATCCACGGCTGGATCTTCAAATCGTCGTCGAGGTCGACAGGCTTCGCTCGTGCAGAATCGTACGTGACAGTGGACTTCGCAACAGACGTTGCGGGAGCAATCTGGCAGGCTTTAGAATGGTCGAGAGTCGTTTCCCCTGCCCTTGTCTACCACACGCTGGCGATGAAGATGGACGTGCCTCTGTGGTTCGCTGGAGTGAAAATTGTGGATAGGCCCGAAGACGACGACATGGCGGCGCGGCAGGAGGCGACAATTCTGCGCCTGGCAGACTACTGGACAGATGCATTTTGGTGCGGACAATGGGCCGACGGTAGCCGCGTGAAACAGGATAGGTTGACGCGCCTTGCGGATTGTCTTCGAGTTCTGTTGAGCGCGTGCATGTGGATCATGCGGATGGGCGGTGATGACGACCGCTCACACTACGAGGCATCATTCTACGCATCCATGCTTGCCAAACTGGCACTCATAGCGGCGGGTTCCTACATCTTCAACTGGCGGCGGCACATCGTTGACAGCGCCAACCTCGTCTTGGATCGTTTGGGGAAGGCCCACCTCACGCTGGGAGATTACCCGCATTGCATCCCCGAATGGGCCGATTGCGGGTTGGTTTTCGGTCACAATGCGGCCCTCAAGAATGCAGCGGAAGCAGCAAAACACGGGTGGATCGGCAGCGGCCCACTGGCGGATGACGATGGCGATGACAAGAATTGACACGTGGTTCATCCGCAAGGCCACGGAGGGATGGGGGTGACGATGGGGGGGAATGATGGTGGGGATGGGGGGTGTTGTATGGAAGGTGAGATGGCCGGTCGCCGTTCCTGCGCAGCACTCCATGGCGATGGATGGGTACAACCCCTCCATCGCGCTACACGTGTTGTCGTTGATGGTCGTGGTTGGAGCGCGCACGACACGTCAGGAATGAAGTAGAAGGCAGGTGGAGTACGTCGTTGCTGTGGTGCGCTTCGAGGGTGTACAGTTGGACTCGTGTTTTCAAATTCCACGTCAATATTCGTTTGTGGAAGGAATGCATGTAATTGAAGTCTCATTTCGTGTGTGAGAATTGTGTACTTGCATGTCCATGATTCGTTGCTGAAAGTTGGTTTTGTTGTCTTTCGTGTGAATGTATCATGTATGGAATGCGTTAATAGCGATTGTTGTGTCCTTCAAATCTTTTGCTTCTGCAAGTGGCCCTTCGTCGGATGTGTGTCAAGTCTGCGTCCTTATCATCGCCTGCACCTGCGAAAACGGGAACGACAAAAAAAACAAACCAGGACGAGAGAAACGAACCTGGCCATGCACTGTCGCAACGCATTTACTAAAGGTTGAGAAAGAAGTCGGTCGCCGAACGAAAGGAAGAAGCGGAATGCACGAAGAAGTCATCACATAGCAATCAAAACAAGCGCAGGAGTCGACGACATCGTTCAATTTGAAATAAAGCAGCGTTGTAAACCACATACTCATAAGCTCGCCGAGGAGCTGTCAACCACCCCACCCACATCCCCACCACCACCGACATCGTTCAATTCCAAACAAAGTGCACAACCGAACCACTGCCGACATGACGTCGAACGACCGCAGAGCCACGTCACTGGGAACCATAGACGAATTGGACAACCACACTACCGTCGACCATAAGAACGAACTCCGAAGAATACCGCCCGCGACCGAAAACCATCTGCTTCGTCGCGCGCAAAAGCGAATGAGGGCGAACCCTCCTAACTAATCGAAGACGGAAGAACACGACTCGAAGCAAGTGTTATGCGTGTGAAAGACGAAGGCAGTGCACAGGATCACAGGTGTTTCATTCGCTCCGCCAGCGCGTCGTGGAGCGCGAGGGCGGGACCGGTGGACATCAACATCGACACTGGCTGCAGGGGACGATGAATCCCCAGATCCACTCGGCGCCTCACCCCGTTCTCGTCGACCTCCCACAACAAATTCTCGTCGAACTTGACACCGGCATCGAGGAGGACATTGTGGAGAATGCAGACTGCCGTGAATTGTTGCGGTAGTGTTTCCAGGTTTGTCTTGTGTGTCCGCAGGAAGAGCCTCCACATCCCCTTCAACCTCCCGAACGCCCTCTCCACAGCCCCTCTTGCGACCTTCTGCTTCGTGTCGAACCTTTCCTCGTCGGGTGCTGATTGATTCCTCCGTACGACACAACTACCCATTCAGAGGGAGGATACCCGTTGTCTCCCAAGATGTAACCGTTCGTCCTCACCCCCCCGGCAGCGTCACAGGCGGCCCACGAAAAAGCACTCCCTGTTCCGCGCGCCTCGACAGACTCGACAGTTGGATCACCCTGATGTCGTGGCAGCTCCCCGGATATCCGACGAACACGTCTAGCACGCGCAGATCCAGGTCCACCACCACCTGCGCAATGACGGAGAAACGGTGCTTGCGGTCGAAGTAGTTCTCGCCGGGCGCGTTCGTCGGTTTGTCCACGTAGATGTGTGTGCAGTCAACTGCGCCATGGTAGTTTGGAAAGCCCTTGTCCAGAAACGCCCGCGGCACGACTTGTTTTCGCACCCCCGTCGGCCACGATATCCTGTCACCATACACCCTCAACAAAGTGTTTGTCACATCGCGCACGGCCAGAATTCCGGAAGCCCTGCCTATGCCGAAAGATGAGGTGCTGTTGTCGTATGACTCTCCTGTAGCCCACCTGTACAGCGCATAGGCGACGATCTGCTCCGACGGAAGTGGCTCCCTGTAGAACGTCACCTGTCGTCGCAAGAGAGGTGCACAGGCTTCGCTGATCTCAATGAAGACTCTCCTCGACATGCGGAGCTTCTCCCGGAAGTAGCCGTCCGTCGGGTCATCGCAGAGCCGCAAATCCTCCCAAGTCCCGCCGGTTCTCCGCCTCATCCACCAACGTGGCGTCGTTCGAGGAACCACACCGCACCCTATTGCAAAGCATAGCTGAAGCACTGCCTCAGAAGTGGTAACGCAGTCAGGGGCGTCCAACACCCTCTGCAGCAGAATCCTCTGCCGCCGCCTGGAAAGCGTCACTTTCATGCGCCCAGCCGCCCTCTCAACCTGGAATCGACGGACAACTGCGACAGCAGCCGCCGCGACAGCTGTCTTCTCCGCACTGGACAGCACAGCGCGACCATCGTGATCGCAGCCCTCCATTCCGCCCTTCGAACAGGAAAAGAAACCTTCCTCGCCACCCACCTGTGCGCACCTCTCCCACCGCGATTGAAGGCGCCTGCAATCAGGTCAGCAATGCAGCCGTGCTCAACGATGTTCCACACCGATTGGAGCGTCCGCCCACTGCCGCTGAAGTACGGAACCGCCGCGCCCCTCTGCGTCACGAGCGCAACTACGGGCAGCATACGAAGCGCGGTGCGGCGTCGAACACCCTGGAGACGTGGCGGTGCGGCGGCACCAAAGTGCGCAATGCCATGGCAGCCGAAACCCTTCGCGACGTGCACTGCCCCCCCTCCTCGCCGACCCGCGTGTGCGCCGCCACACCATCGCTCCGCATGGCGCAAATTCGAATTTCAAAATTCGAACGGGGCCGTTCCCGTGTTGGCGATTTTTTTTCTTCGCGCCCCGTGACGCAGTACCGCCGTCCGCCTGCTGGACCTCCACGCCTCCAACACGGACATCCCGAATCGAAAGTCGGACAACACCCTCGCGGCCGTGTATAATGTCATGAAACTGGCCGCGGGAGGGCCCCGAGGATTCGTCCTCGGGGCGATTCTCCGAGGACAGGTGGAACGACACCTCAAAAATACGTAAAAAATTTCGAGGATTCGTCCTCGGAGTTCGAGGACGGCTCGAGGAGTGTCTAACGACGCCCTAACTTTTGGTTGAGGATTTAGTCTTGCAGATGGTTGAACTTCTGGTTTAACTTTTGGTTGAGGATTTGGTCTTGCAGACGGTTGAAAGTTGAGCAGTGTTGTGAAGATAGGAAGATAGGGAGACACATTCGCTAGAAGTAGATAGTACAGCAATTAGGACTAGATAGAGCGACCTTTTGGATAGAGCCCTGACTGTGGTCGGGATGGGATTGGCCGGAAGTGCCTCTCCCAGCCTGTATGGCTGCAGTGTTTATGTGAAGGACGCCGGACCCTCTTTCCGGCAATATGAATAAATGACCTTTTCTTTAAAATAAAAAATAAAATAAATGAATAACAATAATAAAAAAATCGAAAAAAAGAAAAGGACAAGTGCTGCTCGTCCAATTCTTTTTTTTTTTCCATTTAAAAGCTATATTCTTCTCTCAATTTCACCTCACACTACCTACCTACCACTACTCCTAATTGTAGGCATACGGGGAACCCCGTAGCAGCCAGAACCGTGTTCACGAGAGAACATGTGGGGGCTGCTCCCGACCTGCGGGTGGGCGATACCGGCTAGGGGACAGCCGGTAGCATCAGGGACCATGCCAACAGGACCAATCCCTGTGCCTCCCCTCAGGTCCCCTCCCCACCTGCAGGTGGGCGATACCGGCTAGGGGACAGCCGGTAGCATCAGGGACCATGCCAACAGGACCAATCCCTGTGCCTCCCCTCAGGTCCCCTCCCCTATGAACATCAGCAGACTCTGCTAAATGCCAATTGGGGGATCCAGTGGTCTATCTCTAGGTGGCGGGCGCCAAGCATGCCCATGAAGGTACAATTCTGCTGGGGGTGAGGTCCCCCTGGCAAAGAGAATTGGATTTTTTTTTTTTAAACCTGGATGAATTCAAGTTTTGGGTAGAGATGCAGAAAAAATGGGGGGGAAAAAAAAAAAAAAAAAAAAAAAAAAAAAAAAAAAAAAAGAATAGCCGGGGGGCAAGGTTCCCCTGCCAAAGAGGAGTGGATGAAGTGCCCGAATCTGGATGTGTTTTATGTAGAGATGCAGAAAAGGACTTTCTGCACCGCTCCACATACACGTCCAGATTCAGTCATCAAATCCATTCCTCTTCGCTAGTGGGACCTCCCCCCAGATTTACTCAAACAACCTGTTCGTCCTGTACTCAGGATGATACTCATAAGAACCGAGAAATGGTCCAACCCCTCCTACCCACCCCCTCCCTCCCAAAAAAAAAAGAAAAAAAAAACACATCGAGAAACACCCTGCTCATTCCAATTATAACAGCAAACTGGTTTGCATGGCTAGTTTTGTCCTCTTTTTTTTTTTTTTTGCAAAAGCAATCATCCAATTTATCAAAACCACACGCAATTGAGGCTGGGGACCTCACAAGTCAACCCGGAGTTATCCTGGCAGCCTTAGCCAGTTTCGCTTGTCTGTCAGCCCAACCTGACGCAAAGACTGTGAAATCAACCGAAAACCACGGGGGTGTGTTTAAAAAAAAAAAAAAAAAAAACAATTACCTAGCCTATCAACTCTCAGCAGACGACCACTCCGACAGCCACGGTGGCCCACATTGGTTCTAAACCGAACCTTCGGCCTCCAGTTCCAACCAAAGCTGTTGTGGGCCCACTGAGTGACCAACTGAAACCCTGCGCCAAAGCCACCCAACCAACCCACTGGTTAACCATACCTACTGATACTAGCATTTATTCTACAGTCAATAGACAAAAATAACCAAATGTGAGCCAACAAACAAAAATCCCACCCTGAGTGCATTATTCGCATTCGCAGCGGAGCCACTTGGAGAGGACCAACTTCCCTTCCAGCGTAACTGCAGCAACTCTGTTCCTTTTCCCCCACGAGCGGAGGAACCACAGCTGAGCCCGGTCTCTGGCCTGTCCTGTTCTGCAAAGAACTTTCTTCCTCCAATCCACTGTTATCATGTGACGAACAGTGGCTTTCATGCCCCCTTTCAGCATGTTCCGAGAAGTACTTGCAGTTAAACCACCAGTACCTCGCCCAGCTATCGAGTCCGAGCCTCGGCCGACCGGTACGCCGATCCGTGCCGACGCTTGGACTACCGGGCGCAGGCACCTCGAACGTGCAGAACGTGAACAACGGAAAAGACGGTGAAAAAAAACGAAAAAAAACAAAGAAATAAGAAAAAAGATCCGAACGTGCAGAAGGTACACAGCAAAGAAAACGGGAAAAAAAAGACAAAAAAAAACGAAGAAATAGGAAAAACTACCGTTCTCTTCTTGCTATCTTTTCGAAAAACAAAACGGGAATGCATCTTCCCGCTTTCGCAGGAACATGCATTCCCGACATGTTTCTTTTTGTGTGTGTGTGTGTGTGTGTGAGAGAGAGAGAGAGAGGGGCGGCCACCTGAACGGGAGGTCGCGCCGAACTCGCCGCCCCCCCTCCTCTCTCTCTCTCTCTCTCCCTCACACACACACACACACACACACACACACACACACACACAAACAAGTGTGACAGTGTATATTCTGACATAACAGGCCAGATTCATTCGATTTTGCTCATCCTATAGTCGGAAGTACCAGGAGGCCAGCCGCGATGTTGGAGGCGGCGGGAATGAAGACTGTGGCAGTGTATATTGCCACGATTTAGCGCCA